ATATTCTTTGACAGTTATTGAATTATAGACTTAAAGGGGTGGATAGCTCATTGTGTAGGGGATTATTAAAGTGTATCATTAATAAATATTATTATAAGGTGCTTGATCAATATATTAAGATAACCTCAGATGTTCTCTGGTGGAATAGCCTAACTACTGAACTGATTAAATAACAAATTTCATGATGATTTGTACACTCAGTTTTAAAAGACATTTTGGACGTAACTAAAGCGCACCTCAACACAATCCGATTACAAAATAATAATTTTACAACAAGACTGGACAACATATATAAATCTTTTGCAGCTGATGCACATTCTATCAAATTGTCCATGTAAAACAAAATGTATAAGGATTTATTCCTTAATAATTTAGTTTGTTAAGCAATCCAAGGAGTGTTTGTCAATATAAAAACATTATGTAAAGTGCACGTTTGTTAAGTTCCTGAATATTTTGGCTGCACAAAACGTTTATAAATGCAATGACTGAGTGATTAATGACACGTTTTATTTACTCTCATCTCAGTTTGAGATATTACTCTGAAACCAAGATATCCGTGATCGTTTCACTGATCAGTTTCAGTTTCAATTGCTCTTAGTGATGTGCCACAGCTGTATATACCGCGTGTATATCTCTAAGTAAACTTGCCTTCTTGAATCATTGAGTCTGGTAATTTAAAGTTGGATTTTAAATATCGCTTTGATTAGTCAATTGTGCGCTCTGAAAATTTATATAAGTTTCACTTTAATTAATGTACATGCAAGTCGGCTCTTTTAGTTTACGACTTCTCTATGAATGTCCTAGCTATTTTAATGTTTGATTGATATTTTAAAATGATTAATCATTTACTTTGAACCATTAATCAACATAGATAGAAATATTACAGCAGTATCAAATCATATATTTAAGTTATAAGCAGTCAAAATACAATATTTTTGTTTACTTTTGACCTCTAACCAAGTAAGATCAGAAAGTGGCAGTCTAGGCCAATGGTCAAGTGACTGTGTTGACTTCTGACCATCATCAAACAAAATATGTAGCCTTTGCTGACATTATGATAAGGTCATTGCTATAAGTCCGTAACTACAAGTCAAAGTCCATAGTCAAGAAGACTTTTTATTTTTTGACAAATATTAACAAAGATAAAGCCATTGCCGTCTTAATAAGATCGATGATTATCATCATGTTCATAGAATGTCAAGTTAATTGGTACCTTCTACATTGACCTTTAAAGATAAAAACTTTGCATGGTAGCAGCCTAATAATTTATATTTCAAAGGTGTCATGCCTCTTCAAGATGATGCATTTCTGTGTAGTCAGGCTTATTTCAAATCCATTCTATTCTCAGTAAGAAAATGAAAATAGAAAATAGTATGTGCATTTAAAGCTTGAATTTTAAAAACTCAAATATCTAAAACAATATGCTATTTATAACATTTCTCATTATATTACAATTAAGATTTGTCTAACAAAATCTAGCTGTTTTACAAATATTCAAAATTCCAATAAGAAACGTTAAGATTAAACGTTTTTAAGGTAATTATTTATCATCAAGTCAAATATTCACAATGATAAGCATAATTACTTACAAAGTTTTACGTTTTCATTGTGATTTTCAATGTCGTCTGCTTTATCTGCGGTAAAATAAACATAAACTGATTTCAGTAGAAAGCTAATAAATATGATACCGATGTCAACTTATACCTACACATGTTTTAAATCATCAGGTAATATTTATAATACCCATAGCGACAACGTATCATTGAAGGACACATCTGACTACGGCATAGGCTACTACAATTGATTCTGCATTCTGAGCGCTGTTTTTGCAGTAGTATATGTTCAGCTCTTAGTGTACATTGAAGGAAATAAAGTAATATCTATCTGTATACTAGTATATTAGACATGTTCTGGACACCAACCTACCCATCTCAATAGGGAAGTTAAGCTTCTATCGCATTCTAAGACTCAGCTACCGATGTCCTGATCAAGCATGGGGGAGTTGCCCTTGCCCTTCAGAGAAATAAAGTATAAGGATGTGTGAGACACACGAATTTATAGTTTAAAGTGATTATTAGTGACATTTGAGGAAGAGCAAATATCCTAAATCAAAATTGATTTAAAATACAGAGCAGTAATGATTGTCAGAGTTTTCTGATTGTCACAACTACATTTTTCATATTGACAGTGCGCAAGCATTGTAAGTTTAAACTGAATATATTAGACGGTCTAAAAGAATTGACTTTAAAAATGGTTGGGGGCTTTAGAGATGTTTAATTGATTCATATTCCCTCATGTGCCGAGTCTGCAATTAACATGTTTTATTTTGTGATTAATGCTTGCGAGGGATCACTGTCTTTCCAGATTGTTTACCAAGGTATTAAAAATGTCGAAAGTAATGCATCATTTGGCAAAAATGAAGCTGAAAGTTGCCTTCTCTATTGCATTGCATTCCATATTCAAGCAGACGAAGCAAAGATCTATTCTAGTTTTATCGCTATAATTTATCATGTCAAACTTTTTATACTGTATAACAAGTCTGAAATTAATAACTCGGATTACTAGTTACACGATATCCACTGGCACCAAGGCCAGTGAAATTGTGTGCATTTTCCCTGCGAATCGACAGCATTGTTCGTGTGTTTTCTAGACGTCCAATGGACATTTCCAAACATTGACTTAGGAATGTAATTTTGAGACATGGATGGGCACGTGACTTATTTTTCTCGGCCGATGGAGGGATATATGTATAATGAAGTTTTGCCAGAAATTTGTTAGCAAAATCAAAATTACTTACGCCGCATACTTCCATTTGGAACTATATCATAAATTCCATCAGAATTAATTTTTATATTAGATAGATAATGCTGGGTATAACACATGAAAGTGTGAGCGAAGAGTAAGAGTAATATATTTCACTGTTTTAAGATGCTTTTCGAAGATAATGGATACGCTTTCTTTAAAATAAGGCGGGAATATGACTCACTCACTCACACACTCACTCACTCACTCACTCACTCACTCACCAACGCATTCACTCACTCACTCACTCACGCATTCACTCACTCACTCACTTAATAGCCTAGTGATGGCATCCAGCTTTAAGTATAAACGTTGAAGACAACACTAACGTAAATAAAATAGTCATACGTTATGTAATTATAATGTTAAGCTGCATGTATGAGTCGTTTTTGTTTCGTATTGCAAAATGATTCATAGTATTATACATGTACTGACTGATCCTATTTCTGTTTGGTGTCCTTCTGGGTTCCCTGCCGGTGGCCCTGTGTTACTGGGTCGCGTGGGGCAAGTGTTTATTAACCGCCGCCCTTCCTTGATGATTTTGTTTTTCAATATTTTAATCTAATCTAAATGTTGAAGCTTACTTAACCTTCATTTATGAAGAAAATATATTTTCATTTCATTTCAACGAGCAAAGTTATCACTGATCAGTATTTCGAGTTCTTTATGTTTTTCGGCAAGAAGGTAACTATGATATCAATACCATGTATACTTAAACATTAAACAGAAGGAGTATTCATATTAATAACCAATTCATCCAGGGATTATTAATTTGCTACAGTACCACAATAGAAAGTTTATTCCCAACTGAGATATCTTTTTAGCTTTTCTTTGGAAAGAAGACTGAATGTATTCATTCCTCTATAATAATATATATCATACATTTGTTATGTATGTATATTTGGCAATAAATCAGACTGATAATTGTTGCATTCTTACTTTTTTTAAAGCTGAAATATAGATTAAATTTGATAGTTTTATCTTTTTTTCAAAAATTACACATGATTTGGGGGGGTTTTGTTTTTCTAATAGGATTGTTTCTATAGATTTAAAACAACGATTAGATTTTGATATCATAATTATTAACGGGTATACATTTTTTTACAGATATTTTTGACTGCATCAACATAACTATCAATTGCAGTGTCACTTTTATGCAGAATTTTTTGACATCTCTGGGGACCTTTTGTGGCTATATTTATTGTGTAAAGAAATTAATATATGTGTGTATATTCCCTCATTCTTCGTTACAAAATTAAAGGGGGAATTAAAAATTTTTCTATGTAATTATCTATTTTATACTCCAATCCAAATTCACCCCTTCACGATGTAGGCTTCATTGCTTAACAAATTTTTTTTAATGAATCATACACCCATTCTTTACAATTGTCTACATGCATACCCGTTACCCTTAAACCACGTTTTTTCTATTTTAATCCAACCTTAATGAAGTTTAAAATTTTATTAATGATGGTTATACCCCGTGTCCACGGGTCCCGAAAAAATGAAAGGACAAAGGGCCCATGCCTTCCTCGAGCGAGAAAACTGGCACATTTTTATAATTTTTCCAATATTATGATAGTTTTTTTAAAATACGTTACAAATTTAAAAAAATTTAGAAAAACCGGATTCAAAAAAGTTGTATGGAAACCCATTTGAAAAAAAAAACAAGGGGTTTTTTGCGGGATACCAAAGTTTCCAATCAGTTAAAGTATCAGTTTAAGGATAATGTGTTTGTTTGCACCAAGAAAAATCATTTTTAATGATTTTAATGAGGCAACTAATAAAACGACACTGCTTTATAATTTCATTATTTACAAAAATTACTTCAAAATAAAAGTAAAAAAAAACCTAAAACCATAACCATTTTTAAAAGGATAAAATCAAATCTTATTTTATTTTTTCCTGTTTTTGTATTTTTTCTTCCCGAGCCCAGTGATTTGGAATTTAAAAACCCCTGTTCCCTACCGATAGTGGATTAGAAAACGATAGGATTGGATTCTCTCCTTTAAAAAAATAGCCCCAAGGGAAAGTCGTAGGGAATTTTTCAAAAATGCACGTACAAACCCGATTTTTGCACCAGTAAACCATTTAAATTTGAGAAAGCTACTAACTGTATTCTTAATTTGAATATCTGATGACATGTCAGTCCGTCCAAAAGAAGAAATTCAAAACAAATAATAAATTCACTCTAAATCAACAATTATATTTTTTATTATTTTTATATTGCTTGCATGTATGACAATGCTTTGATAGCAATAAATATAGTTATCCACGAGTGTTGATTGGTTTTGCATCTCTACCTGGTTTTTCAGCTGGGGCTGGTTTTACATGTTCAACTGGTTTTTCGTCGGTTAGTTGATGTATATGATGAGCACCTCGACATGACCAACATTCACAACATTGTGGTACAGATATAGTTACCTGAAATAATCAACGCCATGATAAATAGATCAACGTTTAAATAAATAACAATCTTCACTTGTGTTTGAACAAATATAATAACACATATACAAACAATTCTATTTATTATAATAATATAACTATAACCATGGAAAAAGTATATGCAAAATTATAATATGAGAAATTAAAAATGTTGCACTTTTCTTAAAAATTATCTAAAAGTAAAATGAAACATATTTAATGGTGTTTCACAAACTATTAATTTGAAAATAGACAAGAACCCAAAACGTTTATCTATGTCGTCGACAAATTCAGTTGTTATTCTTAAAATAAGTAAAAAAAGAAGGTGACTGAGAAAAAAGTATATATGCTGGTCATACTTCGACACTAAGTATAATCGTGACAAGAGAAAAACATTTGCTCTACAACTTATAATTGTATCCCCCCCACCCCCGGATATGTAATTACAACAGAATATATCGCAGCTTCATAAATTACAAGATACTTACCAGTTTGAGACAACGTTTTGGAAACCTCTTACAATCCACTCGTTCCCACTTTCCATTTTCCTGCCAGTATGTGGATGGACAGAAGACGTAAATGTCCTTATGTTGACGAAAATTAGTCTCGCAACAAACAGAGTTAGCTATCTTCAGATTATCACTACAGTGTGTCCGTGTCATACAATTCGTTCTTTGTAAAGAAATATTGTATTGTAGTATAAAAGTAGTGTTAAAACAACGCAACGTGACGTCGTTTGCGTAATACAAGCATAACGTCAAAACGCAGTATAAAAATGATGTAGATGCTTTAAACCGTTCTTATTTTAGATATGTGATAAATAGAATATTATTGCCAGGGGCTTTCATGATATATAATATAATTCATTCAGCTGGTTCAATAAATTTTCTATTGAACCTACATGCATGCATCCAATACAATTGTTTAATGTCAATAATTGTATAATAAAAAAATCTGAAAATTTTCAGACGTGAAATTATAGAATTTAACCTGTTTATAGGGCAGTATAAACCGATGACAACATGGGCAAAGCTGGTCGAAATAAATGTAAATATCATTTTACTTATCCTAAAAATAAACTTACGTGGTACATTTGACAATCCGGACTTGTTGACAACATGGCCAGAGTAAAAAACAGGTCTCCCTTAAACGGGTTGAACCTGGTATTTCCCACGTAAAGCTGCCAAGCCACGACGCCTCATACGGACATGATGATTGCCAGAAAAAGAAAATTTTCTTGTCTAGCCTGAAATGTTAACAATGGTTCATAGATCTTTTCCTTGAACTGCTGTGATTTTTGTGTGACTGTGTTTGAATTGATAAAAATAATCATATAATAAAAGCAAACATCTATTTCAGGCTCATATAGATTTTGTTGTTTTATACGATATATAATTAACACTCCATTCTTTATTCTCTAGTCGTTATCTCATAGTTTTATATGATATAGTGAACACTTCATAATATGAGCCGCGTCACGACAAAACCAGCATAATGGGTTTGCAACCAACATGGATCCAGACCAGCCTGCGCACCCGCGCAGTCTGATCAGGATCCATGTTGTTCGCTATCAGTTGCTCTACTTGTAATAGAGTTGGTAAGCGAACAGCATGGATCCTGATCAGACTGCGCGGATGCACAGGCTGGTCTGGATCCATGTTGGTCGCAAGCCCATTATGTTGGTTTTGTCGTGACGCGGCTCATATGTTCTCTTGTCATTATATCGTAGTTTTTTCTATAATAAAATAAACTTTTCATACTATATTCTCTCGTCATTGTATCTTAGTTTTATAAGTAAACTTGAGTACAATATCAAACACCAGAATTAAAGTTGTTTTTCAAATTTTTTTCTGAAATTAACATTTCATTAGCAGGAGAAATGTTTTGTCCTTTCATTACAGAGATGTTCGCAATATAACAGTTGTCACTGCTGTCTTCTATTTGCAAATAACTTCATGGATTACAACACATTGCTGTTAGAAGTAATTTGTTTAAATATGTTACAAATGATAAATAATTTGAAGTCAAGATTTTAACCATCCTGTACTCCTTTGTTTCGAGAAAAACATGTCTGCATTTGTCAGTCAGAATCTATATTATACTTGTTGCTAGTTTACCGGTTTGTATTGGAGATACATAGGTATTTTCATTCATTATAACATATGTACAAAAGGTGCATTTAAATAAAAATAATGTCACCGCTTATATAAAGAAGAAGAAGAATCTTATATTGCACATTAACTCTCAAAAGAGTTATCTACAAGCTTTCATTTGATATATACAATTACATGTATGCATAAGTAAATAAAATATTACATAGCAAGATGTGAAAGTCATACAGCAAGCATTTCAACAGTAAAAGTACGGCAGCTATTAAAAGGTTCTTGATATAATGATTTTATTATTCGGATATAGAAATTAATTAAATTGCAAAGCTCTGAAAACTAATAACAGCTCACGGGCAAAGTATCAGGGTTGTTTGCAATTACCGGTTCAACATGTGAAATGATTAGATTAAACCGAGTTTAAAACCTTGTTGTTTTCATTATTCATCTCCACTGCTCTTTAAAATAATCTCTTAACTAAGTTTTCTTCATGCTGTCATTTTTATTTCCGGCTGCCTCTCGTAGCCTTACATTGAACGAAATTTCTATATCAAAGGAGCATTGTCAGGCATAAAGACCAAAGTTGGTGGTAACCCTGTGGTATTTTATCATGTTGCCGTAGAGTTTCTATTAACTACTTTATTTATAAAATTCCTGACATGTTTTATATATATATCTTTTTGTTTTGTTATTATTTAAGGGTTGAAATTTACAAATTACTGTATAATTTAATGAATTATACATTTGTAAATCAAACAATTTATCAGAAGTAAAACTCACGATTTGGTGATGTCATGTTCATCATGTTCGTTGGCAGGGCTCCATGGTGGTTCACAGCCTTCACTACGTGGGAACTGGGTAAACCAAGCAGAATCGTCACTTGCTAACGTAACATGTGGCCACCTAACAACAAGCATGGGTTGTAAATAAACTTAACAGTATAAAACAGCAATGTTCTTGAGCTTTGTAAATATAATTTTTATTTTAAAGATGAATTTGATTAATGTTTAATGGATTTCAAGTGTACAAATGTTAGTAAAAGATAACTCGTTGTAGATTTTACGTATCCATATAGCTATCTTACATTGATGGACCATAGGCAAACACATACTGCCATTGCTTATACTAGTTATGATTATAAAACAATGTATAGTAAAACAAATTTTTGCAACATTTTTACTTTTTAAATTAGCATATCTTGTTTTATAAATGCAAAACACAGCATTATGTAATTACCATTCAGCGGATAGTGTAGCATTGTCCCAGTTTATGAAAGGATTAGATGGATTAGGTAATGGTTTTGGACCACACGGAGTGGTGTTGCTAGGATCCACATATACAATCGCACCCTTTTCGTCTGCGGCGGTTTCTGCTTCCGACTGACAACGACACACAACTAGATTCACAAGTACGATTACAATAGTCTTGAACTGTTTTAAAAAAGAAAATCAATGATTTGGTAAAACCGCTGATTATGTCTTACAAATTAACTAGCTTTATTATTTTTTTGAGGGGTGGGGTTGGGGGAGGATCAAAACCATACATTCTAAGATCAGTGTGCATAACGTTTGCTTCCTTGACTGACGTTAATTTACCGATACAATACGGCGAGGGTAAGTGTGTCCACTGACTTATATAGGCCACATAAGCTAACCAACAAACTATTTTCATTGATAATGCTATGTATATAATTATGTTTTTGTGGCTACAATTGGATATATAATGTTGAATTATGAAATTAACAAATGTTGCTGTGTTAATGATAAAATTTATCAGATGTAACCAAAGAAATAAGCATTGTTTTATGTTTTATCTTTGAATGATCTAACTATATTGAAATGTTCATAGTTCAGCTATCCAAAATTGTAATGATGTAACTGATGTCCTGAAAGCATTCATAAATTCTCCCCATGCATAGTAATGGAGTTACTATATTATAAGTTAATGCGCCTCAAAATGGTTTACTCTTATATGATAAACAGTCATGTTGTTGAAATGAAATGAGCCGCGTCACGACAAAACCAACAAAGTGCGCGCAGTCTGATCAGGATCCATGCTGTTCGCTTACAAAGTCTATATATATCAAGTAGAGAAACTGATAGCGAACAGCATGGATCCTGATCAGACTGCGCGGATGCGCAGGCTGGTCTGGATCCATGCTGTTCGCAAACCCATTATGTTGGTTTTGTCGTGACGCGGCTCAAATCTATATTATAAGGTCATACAGATATTGTCGATTTTAACGGTTGCTGCAATTAAAGGGAGATAATTAACAAATCATTTTCATAAATGTTTTGACTATTCTGCAACAGAATGGAATGTATTTCATTTTTTAAGTAAACTATAATCAATAAAAGCAATTATCAATAAATAATAACAATCTTGTATGTTTATGTGTATTTTTCTAAACGGAATCCGTATATTTACTTTATCCTGTACTTTGTTGTAAATTGTTTAACAATTAATTTGATTTCATGCTTAACATCAGAAAGATATCGTTATCACTAAAATTTCTTACCATTTTGATACCGTGTGCCATTCCTGAAATGAAATTCAGAAGAAAAAGATATATAGAAATATATCACATTTTATCAGGCTTCATCTCCAATTTAAGTTTTGCTATACTGCAATTTGCATTGTTCGAATTTACATTTGTTACAATATGTTACACACATATAATGTCTATCCTCTTACCTATTCATATAATATACGTGAAACGATCTTATTCTGTGTTTTAACCTTATATATGTATAGAAAACTGAAGAATATGAAAATGTAGGTTCGTCAAGGGGTTGACTATATTTCGACTTCATGCGCGTTATTTACATGTAACTCTTGCAGCGATTTTTATTCCAACACTCTATTAATACATGTATATGGTATTTATAAATATTTCATGATGATAGCTTCACTAAAAAGTTTGTAATAGTTCGACGCTAATAAACAAATTATACCCGCAACGATTTAAAAAGCTCAAAAAGGGTAACGTAACATATATACATGTAGATACATCATGATTGATGTTTCATCAACATCTTTGATATCCTAAAGCCTATGGCTAAATCCGTACTTGTTAAATTTGAACATATTTTTTTCGAGATTTGAGTAACGTTTGATATAGGTCTGGACCAATAACTGTTGTGCAAAATGTCAGATCATTCGCTCCGAAATATTTAATCATTTCAATCGTACACAATAACCAAAAGAATAAAAAGAATAAAAACGTTTCACAACGCTTTTACAACGGGCTAAAATCGCACAAAAATCGATCTTATCTATCTGGAGTGCCCCAGTGAGGCTGGTCAAACGATTCAAATTTTATGGGACCTCAGTGAAGCTCCTTTTACCATTAAGAAAAAAATGAATGCTGCGTATAAAAACTGGTCAGGCCCGCCTCTCTTTGGTTTCGTTTTATGGTGTATAAATCGTAAAGAAGTTATTACAACAAATGCTGTTTTCATATTTTTACTGCTGTAATAACTGAGTATTATATCATTAAAACAGTTTTAAGATTTTTCTAGGAATAGGAAGATAATAATAAAATATGAACAGGTGTTAGTTTGTTAGTTTAACTTACTGAACAACCCTATAATACAAGATATATCAAAAGAGCTCCACTGAGGTCCAAATGCCTAAAAAGATATTTGGAATCCTTACATAGATCAACGGGGACTCCAAAATGAAAAAATATACAATAGCTATAAAAGAAATATACTCATAACTAAAATGAAATTGTATTTTAGTGCGATACTACGGAAACGTATAGCGACCACCCCTATATGATATATATCAAATGACATTTTTTATAGTTTTATAGTATGTTTGTTATATGTAAATATAATTTGAGGAAAGAAATACATATTTAAAATGATGTAAGTGTATTATTTTTTCATTTTGTCAGAAAGTTAAAAGCAGTTTATCTTGCATTACAAGATAAAAAACGTACGATAGATTACGAAAAAATGCGTATTATATATGATTTACAACATATAACTTGATTTAATTGCTTCCTTTATATATTGCGTGGGATTGTTCTGTCCTCATTATCAAATATAAACTGTAAAATATGTTATATTATAATAAAAACACCTCAAATATATATAACTAATACATATAAATGAACAGAAAAAAACTCACATAAATTTTAATTCAGAAATATTAACAGCAGATTGAGTAAAAAATATATATTCAATATCAAATAACAATTAAAATATTGGTCAAATAGATACCATGTGTTAAATAAATTGTCTAAAATTCTGTTTTACTAACATTCAGAGGCGGTAGATATTACTAGATACATATTTCAGATCAAGTAAGTTTGTAAAAATTGGTTAGGTATATAATATGTAATAAATAAATTGTCAAAAATTCTGTTTTAACTAACATATAGGGGTGGTCGCTATACGTTTCCGTACGATACTTTGCCCGATTTCAATTTTATGTCATTTTTCACAATATTCTGTGAAAAAGGACTGAACGAATTATCTGAAATTTCGCACACAAGTTATTGTGAAACGATATAATATGAGCCGCGTCATGACAAAACCAACATAATGGGTTTGCGACCAGCATGGATCAAGACCAGCCTGCGCATCCGCGCAGTTTGATCAGGTCCATGCTGTTCGCTTACAAACAAGTAGAGAAACTGATAGCGAACAGCATGGATCCTGATCAGACTGCGCGGATGCGCAGGCTGGTCTTGATCCATGCTGGTCGCAAACCCATTATGTTGGTTTTGTCATGACGCGGCTCATATTATAATTATTTAAAAAAATAGATTATTTAATTTATGAAAGTGAGTGATTGATTTCAATATAATTTTTAATATAAATTTACACTCAATGGAAAAAATGTTTCACACGTTCTTGCTTTGAAAATAAAATGCTGTTTGGCAAATGGGAGAGATTCAACGTGAATTTACGCACGCTGTCAACCAAACATGTTGTAAACATAAGTCCTGTTATTTTCAGTGACATTTAATAATAGTGTAACATATTTATCATAAAATGCAGGCAACCTTGATAACAATAAGATATATATTTAGGTCGGATAAATGTCTACATGTATGTATGTATAATATAACAGCTTAAAACAGATCATTGACATTGCGTGCTTTATAACATCTAACGACCAATACATGTTAAATCATATCATTTATAAATAAAAGTGATAAAAATGTACATGATTCCTATTTTGTCGTCTTGAGCTTTCTTTTGGGACTATTTTCCTTTCTTTCTTTTTTTCTATTTTATTGTCACATTCAAGTTGTGTGTGCCGTGTGGAAAACGTAAAATGTCATAAATAATCGACAGGAAAAACAAAACAATTGAATTACACGTAATTTGTTTTTCTATCGTCCTTGTACATGTATATTATTTATTTGTTGCAATATCACGTGCAGCTAAAAATATTTTTTTAAAAATCACTTATAAGAACACCAATTAAAATTGAAAATGCTGCTGACTCTCTAATTTGTAAAATTAAACTATATTATACCGTCCACGTTCAGTGGTTTTGTTTTTCTTATCTTATATTTGATGCAATTATATTATAATTAAGCTTGCATATTTTTTTCATCTTGAAAGAAAAACTTGGATATCACAAAACAATCATTATATACATATTTCTTCCTTCGCTACTAGTGTGAATAATAGAAAAGTTATACAAAACATCTGAAATTCCGACATTTTCGTCGTACAAAAGAGAGATAAGTTTGTTTTCATGAAGGGGGTCATATTTTACTTTTTTTTAACACATTTAAGATCAATATCAATCGGGTCATATTTTTTCTTTCCAGGTTCGATACTCGTGCCTGTGGAATAGATGTGTGTATAGATGCTAATTAGATATTCCGTCCAGGACTATGATAATAAATTTAAATGGAAATCAAACATTTATAATATAATTTGTTCTCACCTGTCTAAATATATGTGTCAATTAAAAAATTTTATTTACAATAGGCTTCAAATATAGTTGACGGACATGGAATAGCTGGACAGGAATGTGATAAAAGCATTTACTGAAACAAATTAAAACTTATCTATTGTGCTTGATGCACGAACTTTTTTTTGCACGATGTAAGGCAATAGCATATATAAATGCCGTCTGGTTCACAACAAAAACAAAACGTACACCGGAGTAAAGTCTTGTCATCAGCTGATAAGGTTTTCGCAGTAAGATTTAGGTTTCTCGAAAGTAAACCCAGCATTAATCATTTTACTCACTGTATAAATTGCTTCCTCTTATTCCTTTTCATATATGGTTTAACGACGAATTATGCTCACTGTCAAACAGTAAAAGTTCTATTTACTGTTGACTAAAAGAAAATGCTATTCGGATATAACTTGATTTGGATATAAATTACACAAAAGGCGATTTCTTCATTACGAGAACTTGAAGTTTTATCACTAATTACCAAAAAACATCCGATTCATTATACAATACCTCGATAATTCAACCATATACACTTATCAAATCTTATAAATGGTCTCAGACTCAATAGTGACCCCATCATGAAGGCATCTGGAGATTTTCAATAAAGTTGAGAGACATGATTTGATATTCCAGTTCTTTGATTTTATAACAAACAACTTGCATGCCCAAATATATGTGATCAAATCAAATCATCAAATCAAAATTTATTTATTGTCGGTATATATATATATATAACATTTTACAAAACATAAGCTAAGTGTATCTTTTGACCGACATGATTCTGCATGAAGAGTTGAATGTTGCAAAATGATGCCAGTGATTATTATTCAAATACCAAGTATGCCAACCCCGACTATTCACAACTGTCTAGCAACATTTAGGCATGGATCAGTGGTCATAAAAACGTTAATGAACACAATATTAGTGACAACACACTTCCTTTACTTTCAGATGCGGTGTGCTGTAACATGCAAAAATTTTCAAGATTGAGCAAATTCTTCCCCAAATTTATGTACAAAGCTATGTCACATCAATGCATCAATATTACCAGGCTATGATGGTGTATTTTTTGAATAATTTTCAATGACATCATCATTTTTGCAACATTTTTTTTTCATGAACAATCACATTTATCTGGCATGTGCATTAAATTTGTGTTTGTTATGAATATGAACTTAAGTGAAATAAAAAAATAAAATTTAATAAGTGTACACTTAACAAAACTTATAACTGTGCAGTTTTTAAATGTGAATAACTTTTTTATTACTTGACATTTTTTAACAAAATTTTGGAATTCATCGTTTTAATGGTTTATTTTTACAATGCTATATTCAGAAATAACGGTTATTTTTGTTGTGTGCGTTCATCCGTGACATGTACATAAACAACAAAGTGCACGTGAGTATGGCAGCTTGGTGCTAAATGAAGTTATTATTGACCATCAAGGATTCTATTTAAAAAAAGACATCCAAAAAACTTAAATTTATTGCAGATTTTTTGCAATTGAAAGAAAAATGGCCGTCTAGAAGTTTTACGCAACGGAATTTACATTTCAGGCATCCTTTTGAAAATAAATTTGCATAATATTTTCTCAAATAAACATATTGACTAAGATTTTACTTTAAAACTAAAAAACAAACTTTCTTGGTACTTTCATTTTCATGAAAATATTGTGTTTGCATTGCTTTTAGTAACTGAGTACAACGCGTTACGGAGATCGACATAAACCAGTCTTTACTTAAATTCAATAAAGCAAATATTAAAATCACAGTGACATAATGCCCTGGACTTCATTATAGTATTATACCCTATCGATGATCCGATGTTTTATGTTTGTATTTTAGTGAAATCAAGAGATCTAGACCTTTTTGCACCCATTATAAACACGCATTTTACAGAAATGTGAAATTCGGTTTTCGCGCAATTTTGCACACATCGCTATTTCTCAGTAAATACGAATCGCCCTGACATAAAAATCGATACCCATCATGCCACATATCTGTACTATATTTGGTTAAAATTTCAGAGACCTATGTTTATTAGTATCTGAGAAAAAATGATTTTCATAGGTGCACAGTTATAAGATTTGTTAAGTGTATATATAACTACATATTATATAGGGATGGAGTACATGTATTTTAAAACTTATCTTTCTGGGAGTTGGGTTATTTTCTGATTGAATCATTATTGATTGTTATTTTGATTGTATGATTATCATACAGGGATTTTCTATTTGAAAGACAAGACATATTTTGATACTATCATTTTGACAGAACATTGATCCAGTCTAAGTGTATCATATTGTATCGCATATAATATGATATACAGGACTAGTATTCTCTTAACAACTTTGTTCCAGATTTGTGTTTCTGAACTGAGACAGTTGAAGCTACTCCTGTCACATCTGAATGAGAGATATTTCAAAGATATTTCATGAGAATCAGATATGATAAAAGAGATAGTTCATGCGATATTATAAACAGCATATTTCACGAAATATTATAAACAAGATATTTCATACAATATGATAAACAAGATATTTCATACAATATGATAAACAAGATATTTCATACAATATGATAAACAAGATATTTCATACAATATGATAAACAAGATATTTCATACAATATGATAAACAAGATATTCCATACAATATGACAAACAACATATTTCATACAATATGATAATTTAAAACAACATATTTCATACAATATGATAAACAACATATTTCATCAAGATATTTCATGGGATATTAAAGACATTGTCAAATGTCCTGTTCAGTCTTGCAGAAAAAAATGTAATATATAAAGGCAACTCACTGCAGCTTTTTGCCAAAACTTTATATTTGCAAGTAAGAGGCAGTGTACATAGTGACCAAAATGTTGCCTCATAGAAGAGATGAACTTCCTAACTTGTACCTGTCTTAATATATCAAAACCCACCATGATTTACCTTGTTTTTAACCTATAGCTCTTCAACGCTTCTTATGTAAAATTCTTCCAAGTATAATTTCCAATAACCGTAAATTATACCATACCCAGACTATGGTATAATTTTCAGTTTTGAAGATCGAAGGAGTAAGTGTTTCTGGGCGGAGCTATAGGTTAAAACAGATACACCATTGGTGCGTTGACGATTTCTGGGTTTGCGTAAACTTCGTCTCGTGAGGTTAAGGCATAAGAAAGGTCACGTGATTATGGTATAATTTACGCAAACCCAGAAATCGTCAACGCAGCAATGGTATATCTATTACATATTCCTCAGTCTATATAATGTATGCACCAAATTTAACATATACTGTCAAATCTCTTGTCACCTGACATAGCAAATGCAGACTGAATTATTTTAAAAAATAAAGATACTTGTAATTAATTGATTAACAGGTGTAGTAGGGGTGCATATTAATTTGCTAACATTTCTTTTGAAATTTTAATTTAATATGTACTTTTTTTGTTACAGAAAACAAATATGCCTTCTAAAGTGAGAGATGGATGTATTTATCAATATAAAAACTGTAAGATTTTGTGGAATCACAGTCTGGTCGAAGAAGATCTGTGGGTACGTGAGGGGAAAATTTTAAACCCAGAAAAGTTGTTTTTTGATGAGCAAGCATATGCGGATGTACAGATTGACTGTAAAGGATGTATCATTGCTCCAGGATATATTGATGTACAAATAAATGGTAGGTTTTCCAGTGTAAAGTAATTTACGTTCATTTAAACAATAATATTGTGGATGTAAAAAACAGTTTACCTTACCTACCATAAGACTTACTCAATACTGTAAAAAAACTAAAATATTAATGAGACTTACAATGATATTACCTAGGATATTTTTATTATTTTCATGATAGATAAAATTTAAAGCGGTGTATGAACATAATTGTAATATATTAATTATGTTATGTATTGAATATGTTAGATATTGGTTTTGTGATATAAATGATGTGATACATTGATTATGAGAGTATTTGTTATGTGATATATTAGATATGTGATATAATGAATGTGTTAGATATTGGTTATGTGATATTATACATGATTTATTTAATTTTACCCATGAAAAATGGTGCTATATCAGTCAAATATATTTCATATTTTTTAAAAATGAATATGAAATATAAATATGAAAGTGGGCGGAGTCAAAACTCATATTTATTTTAAGGGACATTTTTCGCCATTTTGTTTGAAAAATCTGATAAATACAAAACAACTTTTTGTTGAATTTTGTTAAGAAAACTATCTAGAATGATAGAAAATGGTCTAATTAAGAGAATAAATCCGAACACCAATATCTTTAATTAAGTCAATAACGCTGTACAGACGTTTGAAGAGTTGTTTACGTGACGTCACAATGTAGCGTTAAATATCGCGTGCAAAACAAGACAATAACTATATTACTGACGCTGTACAAATGCAGTTGCGTAGCAAGCAAGGGGGATGGTAACCAATTTTCTTTGATAATGAAATTAAATAAAAAGGTTATTTTTTTCGTTTTTTGTTAAATATGGTATATATTTTCACGCAACATGATAAAATGCCACATATTTTCACTTGCTGTCCCGGCTCGTGAAAATATGTGGCATTTTATCATGTTGAGTGAAAATATATTCCATATTTCACTCAAACGAAAAAATATCCTCTTAATATTGGCTATGTGATATATTGTATATGTTAGATATTAGTTATATTATGTAACATGTGATGTATTGGTTATGTGATATATTTGTTATGTTATATATATATTATGTGATATATTAATTATGTGATATATTGGTTATGTGATATATTGGTTATGTTATATATATATTATGTGATATATTAATTATGTGATATATTGGTTATGTGATATATTGGTTATGTTATATATATATTATGTGATATATTAATTATGTGATATATTGATTATGTGATATATTGGTTATGTGATAGATTGATTATGTTATATATCGATTATGTGATATATTAATTTTGTTACATATAAATTATGTGATATATATTAGTTATGTGTTATATTAATTATGTGATATATTGATTACGTGATATATTGATTGTCATTTATTAGTCCCCTACCGGTTTACCGGAGGGGACTTTAGGTTTACCCTCCGTCCGTCTGTCCGTCCGTCAGTCCGTCCGTCTGTCCGTCCGTCAGTCCGTCCGTCCACAAAACTGGATCCCGCAATAACGCAAAAAGTACTGAAAATATTTTAATGAAACTTGATATATGGATAGATGGCAGTATGGAGATTATGCACGTCTTTTTCTTTTCTTCCTACGTTGAAAATTCTGGTTGCTATGGCAACAAATAGACTGAAAATATGACAAATTTTACACATAAACTGGATCCCGCGATAACGCAAAAAGTACTGGAAATATTTTTATGAAACTTGATATATGGATAGATGGCAGTATGGAAATTATGCACGTCTTTTTCTTTTCTTCCTATGTTGAAAATTCTGGTTGCTATGGCATCAAATAGACTGAAAATATGGCAAATTTTACACATAACCTGGATCCAGTGATAACACAAAAAGTACTGAAAATATGTTTATGAAACTTGACATATGGGTAGATGGCAGTATGGAAATTATTCACATCCTTTTCTTATCTTCCTATGTTGAAAATTCTGGTTGCTATGGCAACAAATAGACTGAATTTCAAGATTTCTGATTCTAGTTTTTAAGTTTTTTCACTAAGTTCTTTATTTCTTAAGGTATTTTCTTCAAACTTTAAATATAAGTTGCTTGTCATCAACCACATCATATGTGACAAGGTTTACAACTCTAGCACAAAATTTATCAGAATTACCTCCCTTGAACTTGAAATTTTCATGGAAAAAACATTGTTTTTTTTAATAACTTCTTTTTCTGAATGTATCTACTTCAAACTTCATATAAATGTTTCTTATTGTCACTCAACATTTGTGAGTGTTCAATACTCTAGCAAGACTATTTCCAGAATTATGCCCCTTTTGAACTTAGACTTTTTTTTGAGAAATTGGTAATTTTTACTCCAACTTCTTCAATCATGATAGGATTTTAAAATGTTATATTTTGATAACAGGGATGTTTAAAAAATAACTTTAGAGTGTCTTTCAGTCTGTCTGTACATAAAAACTATTTCCTGTGATCACTTTTAAAGAACTTTTTCAACAATTTTACTTTAAATAGGAACCTAAGTGAATGGCCAATGGCCCATAGAATGTTGCTTGGGCTCTTACCGGTAGGGGACTTATGGATTGCTTGCAATACTATGATAATTGCTTGTTGATTATGTAATATATTGATTGTCATTTATTGATTATGTGATATATTAAGTATGTGATATATTGGTTATGTGATATATTGATTATGTGATACATTAATTATGTGATATATTAATAATGTGATATATTAATAATGTGATATATTGACTATGTGATAAACTAGTTATGTTATATCATTAAGGGTTTATAATTATGTTTCAGGTGCCTTTGGTATAGACTTTACAGAGACTGAGGATATCAGTGCAGGTTTAAAGAAAGTGTCACATGGTTTACTAGAGCATGGTGTCACATCTTATTGTCCTACAATTATTACAAGTCCTAAACAAACTTACCACAGGGTATCTAGTACAATTATGATATTTAAGTTAATAAATAAAAAGACCATTTATTAAGAAGATTACAGTATTAGTATCTATTAACAAGTCTTTTTAATAAAAGCAGCATTCTTCCAAATTAAATGAAAATTTTGAAAATGTATTTAAAAGTATGTTTTGTGGTGAACAAAGAAGTAATTTACAGTTACACATTGCAAACAACACTTGGAATCCAATTAAATTACCAGAAAGAGGTCAAATTGAGCAAAAATAGCCCTTACTGTGTTGAACTTTGGAAATAGATTTGTCATTTATAAACCACTTTACATTTATATATAAACCAGATTACATTAAAAAAATTTTATAATATTTAAACATATCTGACATGAAAGTTTCTTGTTGTATTTTGGTAAATTTGTATTAGAATTATACAATGTTTACAGACAATACCTAAAGTGAAGAGATGTAATGGAAGTAAGAATGGTGCAGGAATATTAGGTATGTCAAACCTAGTACATTATTATACAAACTATATTAACATGATTTAGAAACCATTTACATGAATATACAATCCATTTACAAAAATATACAAAACTCACATGAATGTAAAAACCTTTTACAACCTTCCACATGAATATGCAAACTTTTAACATGAATAAACAAATCTTTCACATGAATATACAAATTTTGTACATGAATAAGCAAACCTTTCACATGGATATTCAAACCTTTACCAAGAATATACATTTACCATGAATATACAAACTTTTTCCATGGGTTATGAACTTGTAAATGGAGCAAAATGTAAATGGATACAAGTTTCATATCATTATACTAGAAATTTGTGTTTTGTCCTAGCTTTATCCTTTCAGCCCATATTAACTTCTGATGGAAAAAAATTACATGGACCTTCAACATTATACCAATAATCTAGCTTAATGATTTAGTAAATAAACTACTATAAACATTAGATTATCTATTATCTATTTTTTCTATCACTGTTTTAATGTAGGCATTGTGTACAAGGGCTTATTCAGTACATATTATATTAACATGAATTTTCAGGTCTACATTTAGAGGGACCGTTTATTAACAAGATGAAGAAGGGAGCACACAATCCAGATAACATTCAGTCATTTCCTAATGGATTCAGTGATGTTGTTGATGTGTATGGTGATTTGAATAATGTTGCCATGGTAACACTAGCACCAGAATTAGAGAGGTCAGGAGAGGTGATACATGAACTGTGTAAGAGAGGGATAAAAGTATCATTGGGTAATACAAATTCCTACATAGGTCTGCAATATCTCTGTATAAATCATTCACAATGTACTAATATAATGTATACATCATGATAATCCTTTGATCAAACATTAACACAAAATAATGGCAATCTAGAATGTGTCAAGATCTACATTGTCATCAATTTGGCATCAGCTAAAGTGAGTTAAGTTGGAAGTTGATAGCATTTTACTCCTTTTCTTACCTTTTGAATAGTATTATTATATAAATATAAATTGTTGGTATAAATAAAATTATAATTAAATACCAACATTTTGTCAGTGGTTAAAATATAGGCTAGCTGTTCATATGAGACAAATTGAATACGTTGTGAAATTTATATATTTATTTCTGTTTTTGGCCCACATTTCAAGAGTAGATTAAGTATAAGTTCTTAAAGGGAGACACAGGCAAAATTTTCATTTCTTAGTTTTGAGTTTTTCAGTCATTTTTCTGTAAATGCCCTCAAAATGAATATATATGACAGTCAAAGGAACAAAACTTTTCTCCATATAAAAAATAAAATGGTGGTTTCCTAACTTGACCCGCATGGGTCAGGTAAGAGCGCTATGATTTCACAATAGTTTTCAAAGTGAACTCTGGAAACGTTAAAGAACATGTCAAATGAATGACTAAGACTTGTTTCATTCATACAATATCCATAATATCTGTTATTGTAACTTCAAGAGTTTGTTCAAGTCATGTGACTTGTTTAAAAAATATTTGGCGATTCTATTCAGGTCTAGATTTTGTTCAACATATATAGATATATTTACGCTTCAAATCCAAAATATTTAGAATTTAAACAAAAATTCATGCTGAAACTTCAAAAAATGTCATTTTAGCGTGATTTAAGTACATAACATCATTTTAATATTTTGTCATTATTTTGCCTGAATATCCCTTTAAAGGCATATGAAACCATAGAAATCAATATTTTTTCCTCCTGTAAATAGGGTAAACATGTGAGGCTTAAGAGTCATCTTCTGTTATATTGCACTATTGAGTTTATATAATTATACATGTATTTTATATAGGTCACAGTTCAGCAGATCTTGTTACCGGGGAAACAGCAGTAAACAATGGGGCCTGTATGATCACACATCTGTTCAATGCCATGGTGTCTGTAGGTAGTCTTATCTTCTTACAACATGGTGTCTGTAGGTAGTCTTATCTTCTTACAACATGGTCTATCTTGTTATTTTCATTCACCAATTGGTGTCTGTTCAAGTGTGGGTGATGTCCGAGTGGGGTCCGGGAGATGTCTGGTTGCCTTTAAAATCAGACGGTGTGTTTGAATCAAAAACAATCATCTGATCCAAAAATCTGGGCGATCTCTGCCAGATTACTTTTTCAACTTTTCAATTCACTGACCCCAAAATATTTTGCCGTAGGCTGTCAGCTTTAAGTACTTAAAACTTGACAGCGACCGCCCTATTACCAAAATTTTCAGCTTCTGCTGTCTGATTGTCAAGGTGGCCAGACGGACATTGACCAAAATTACTAATTTTTGGAGAAATAGATGCCCCCCGGCGGCCATTTGTCATTTGTGACTTAGGCATTACTAAGGCCCAAGTGTGTAATTAACTTACAACAGATTTGATATCTAACAAAATTTCCACTATGTATAATATTATATTATATGCTTTTCATCAGTATTCAAGTATAGTTTTGCTACAGTAAAATAATATTTTGATAATTTCTCTTTAACATTATCAAAACATAATTTCCCTTACTACCATTAAGTATGTCACATGCTATATAGTTACATGTTTATTTCAGTATCACCACAGAGATCCTCATTTAATTGGTGTGTTAACAAGTACACATATAGACCAGGGTAGATCGCTGTATTATGGTCTTATAGCTGATGGTATACATACACATCCCTCAGCTCTACGTGTTGCTCACAGAATATTCACCAAAGGTACAAATCATTTCATTGCCTTATAACTGAATGCTTGCTTAAACGGAATGTAGATGGTTCTACTCTGGTGCTTGTTTGTGCTTGAAATAATGCAAGGAAGGGCACTCCACCAGTAAAGCTGGAAAGTTGCTATATGACCTTAACTGTGTTGTTGCATTAAAAAAAAATGCTTAAAGGTACATAATGCTTCAGAAATTTATGTTTTTAAAACTTTTTTACAAATGTCAAACATGAGTTTAATAATGTTTGAATAATGGATTAAGAGTATGTTAGATGTTTTACAGTTGAAAAGGTTGCGCTGAACATGCAGTTATGTGTCAAAAAGGTAGCAAAATGTAAACAAAGTTGTTTTTTGAATTCCACACAAAATACTGATTTACTATAATTATACTAATTGCCAAAAGAGCTTAGGATGCAAAAGATATTTCAGGTATATAGCAAATGAGTATATTTTTGGAAACTGTAATAAGATACCTAAATAAACAGTTTTTGAGAAATAAAAATGAATTTCTGAGGCATAATGGGCCTTTAACTGGTATATACATGTAGCTATATGTTTTTTAAATATTCTTATGAAATCTTTCAGTGGTAAAATCAAGTTGTTTCCATAATCTCATGATGGATTCTTGTAAAATTTGTAACAGAAAATGTCTCTGTTATTTTACACAAATTAATTTTTTACATCAACAGAACAAAGTGTTTCGGAACAAAATATTATTGTGCTACTTTATGTAGGATTTTACTTATATAAAATTGATTTTGTACAAATTTTGTTGCGAAGGAAATATACAGTGCAGGTTTTTTAGACTTACCCCTTTTCAAAATTTAATTTTTTGTAAACTACAGGCTGTAGATATATAGCTTTAAACACTTTATGAAAAACTTATTATATTGTAAGATGTATTACATTTTAAGACTTTACTATTTTAGTTTTGTCCTGGAATAAGTGTCTTTTATGAACCACTATTAGAGAGATGTGTCCAGATAACAAATATCAAATGATTCTTTAATGTGTTTGTTGAAATAAGCATTTGAGTTCTTTAAATTTCATCAATTTAAATTTTTTGCTCAACTATTTGAAGAATATTCGGGCTGTCCTAGTCACTTTTGCACAATTTTACACAGAACTGGCAGCATGATAGATTCAAAAATTGTAAAAAAGTTTTACTAAATAATGTAAACATGTAATTCAGGTTTAGTACTGGTAACAGATGCTATATCAGCTATGGGTCTGCCTACAGGAGAACATTGGTTAGGTCATCAGAAGATTGAGGTGAATGGTAAACGTGCTACTATAGCTGGTACAGATACACTCTGTGGCAGGTAACCTTCAATTATTTAGCATTTTTTTTGCTACCAGCTTTCTTATTTGATCTGTTTCGAAGAATTTATTCAGATCACTTGGTTATTTGTTGTTCATAATCTTTAATGTAGCCCATTACTGAATCCCTTTAAAAGTTATCATCATAAAATTGTGCATGCTGGCTTACAATGAGAAGGACTAGTTTTAAGACAAAAGAGCATTATTTTGAATGTGGTAATTTTAGAGTTGTGCCCCGTCTTAAATTAACTTTATTTATTGTTAAAATTGGTTATTAAGATTTTTTTTAAACTATCAAAGATATTATTCTCATTTTTGTTATACTTGCAAAGGAAGAAAGGTCACATCTGTAGCACAAGGGACATAACTAAGTGCTGGTTATTTCTACAGTTGTGCCTTTATTTCACATCAAAAATAAACTTCTATATACATATGAATTATCTTTAACATTCTAAATCATAGTTATTCATCTTCCTGAGAAGTGAAGTGCATAACAACAAGAACACACTTTAATTTATTGTCTTTTAGCTGTTGCTCTAAAGAACATGCTTGACAAATAAATCATGTTGTCAGTTGTTGGGAAATTTTACAATTGTTCCATTTTCTGTCTGTCTTTTAAAGCAGAAACACTGTAATGGCAGGTTTCAGAAATTAAATTTTGCTGCTTGAAAGCTTTTGATAAATTATGATAACTGTCTAAACTAGAGCCTTGTTGTACATTTTAAGTGTCTGCAAGGTATATTATATTATGGCACTGTCTGTCTCTCATTAATCTGTAGACAATATCATTTTGGCAGTACACAAGTTTTTATCACTTGAATTTTATTTGATATGCCAATATAAAATGTCCAAATACAGATGATCTTCGATATTGGGTACAATTTGCAGCATTAGAATTTAAAGCAATCAGGCCTTGGTCACTAGTATACATGTATATAGTCATTGTCACTGGTATATAGTCTGGCCAGGCTGCTCTATACCACTCACATACCTCATTTTGATATCCCCAGAATTGATAATGGATAGTCCTAAAAAATAGAAGCTGGTCAAGTTCATTTCAGAAATTCAGCAGGTTAATTGATTGGAATATGTATATGATATTTATAAATAACACATAGGTTTGTGAGTAAGCGTTAAAATATTATCCCAAGGAAAATACTGTTACCCAAGGCCTTAGCCAAGGATATCAGTATTTTTACGAGGAATGACATTTTGCTGTTACTCACAAACCTATGTGTAATTTATTTTAATACTCTGAACAAATACTTCATTGGCACACTGTTTCTATAGGTTTACAGATTTTCACTGTACTGTTACCTTTGTAACAATACAAAATTTTGAGTCACATGGTACACTTGAATTAACAGTAAGAATAACTCCCATTGGCCCATGGGCAATTAACATTACAAAAATAGCAATCATGCAGCTTACTCCTTTTCATCTAGTTATTGTCAGCTGGCTATTTCTGCTTTCATCTTGTATTGTATAAAATGTTATATATTTTGGTTGATTATTTTCAGTATTGCCAAGTTAGACTACTGTGTGAGGAATCTTCTGAAAAATACAGGTAAGTTCATACTTACAATACAGTTGGTTAACTGTAGTGATACAACATAGCTATTTTAATAATAGTACACTTATTTTGTAAAGCTGACATGTACCGGTATTCCAGAAAAATGTAGCTATTAAAGGTTAATACAGTGACATTGTATATATACCAGTGAACTCCTGATTAAATGATTAAAGTGACTGACCACTGAGGTTTTTAACATGACGGGACCGGAAAATAATTTTCAAAATTAATGTATCATATTATGTAGGGTTGGATCAATAACTTGTGCACAGAATTTCAGAAAAAACTCTCACTTTGTTTTTCCATAGTAACTATTCTAATTGTGAAAAATTACCTTTAATTGAAAAGCGTTTCGACACTAATAACTCAAAGTGGTGCAAGAATAGCACTAAAAGATGATTTTCAATTTACTTTAGAGTACATTTCTTTATTATCTTTTGCATACTTTTCTGTATTAAGTGCTCCATCTGAAATTTCAAATTTTATGTTTTAAGGCTTTTATATCTTAGTGGAGTTCCTTTAATGTTGCCATTTAAAATCACTCAACACCACCATGGAATCAAATCTGAATTTTATAATTCTGAATTATTTTATGCGATGAAGCATTAATAGTAGTTTTCAAAAGGTAGTTCTACTCAATTGTCTACTTATTAATTTACTGAAGGTCTTTTCTGTTACAGTGTTGTGGCTTGAAATCCACAAAAAATGTTCTGATGCAAATCTTTGGTTTTTACTTTTTGACAACGTATTACAATGTATTTGAAAAATGAAAGCTTCCTGATACAGGTATTATGTAGATTATTATATTTTTCTCTCTCTTATATTTAGAATGTGGAGAAGTTATAGCATTAGAGTGTGCCACATTACATCCAGCTCAGATGCTCGGTATAACAGACAAGAAAGGAACATTAGACTATGGCACAGATGCAGATTTTGTCATCCTAGATCCAGCATTAAATGTAATGGCCACTTATATAGCCGGGGAGCAAGTCTGGGATTCAGGACTGATTCAAGGACTGTGATAATGGTGCTAGTGTTAAATTATCATGACGTTTTGTTAATCAGATGTGTCAAATATTGAATGTTTTTATCATTATTTTATACACGTAGTTTGTTGATTGTAGTAGTTGTTGGTAGTTTAGTTTCAGATCTTTAAATCCAGACCTACCACTGATAGTCTAATGTCAACATGAAACAAAAGGGATTAAAAGAACATTGCAAGGTTCTGTTACTTGACTTTAATATTAACAAATCTAGAATGTGTAATCTTTACATATTTCACTTCAGGGATATTTATTAGACATCTGAATAAATGTCTAACATAATTGATCAAAATGCAAGGCACAATGAATCAATTGCTACCAGGGACACAGTATCAAAAACATATTTTAAAATACAATGAATTCAGATACATGTATGTCAACCTGTACTTATTGTTAGAATATAATAATTGGCAATTAAATAACTTATATTTTATTTCTATATATTTGAAAGACTTATATTGTATAACAGCGTAAGAGAATCTTGATCTGTAATTTTTATTTGATTGGCTTGGACTTTGCTAGGGCAGAATCTCACAAGATGCGAAACACTTGGTGCGATCCTTTCTAGAAAAATCCTGAGATCTGTCCTAGGAAATTTTATGAGATCTGTCCTAGGAAATTTTATGAGATCTGTCCTAGGGAATTTTATGAGATAATTTTATGAGATCTGTCCTAGGAAATTTTATGAGATCTGTCCTAGGAAATTTTATGAGATCTGTCCCAGGAAATTTTATGAGATCTGTCCTAGGAAATTTTATGAGATCGTCCTACGAAATTTTATGAGATCTGTCCCAGGAAATTGCATGTAATCTGTCCTAGGAATGTCCATGACAGCACATTACAAGACTTAGTATTAAATAAAGGTACTGTTAAAATGACCATTTCATTGTACACCTTTTTGTATCTAAACTACAACATCAAATGTTAACTGATGTCATTCTAGATCAGGTATATACAAATGCTAATTTTCTTTACACCAGTTTGAAATTGTTCATGTGATGCATACAGGAAAGATATAAAAATTACGCAGCACTTAAATATATACAAAATGACCATTCATTGTACACATTCTTGTTTCTAAACTACACATACAGTAAATACCGGTATATAAAAATTATCTTTCTTGTTACATGTTTTATATCTGTAGTATTTGTTTACCGCTATTTTACACATTTTACATTACATTTTGCAGTGTTGTATTGCTTCAAATTGAATCCAAAAGTTCAGTCACATGACATGTATTTGTTAGTATTACATGTTAACTATGTATCACATCATCATATTGCCAATTAGAATAAATAATCTTACTTTGTATTGTCTGTAGGTCAGGTAAAGGATAGGGTCAAAGTTTTTTGTTTATTATTTATTAGATTTAGTGATAATTTTTATTTCTGGTGCTTCTGTAGTATTGCCTCATTTAGATTATTGTTTGTGAAATCAGGGATAACATGTTATTGTAACAATTTTTTTTAATGTTGGTATTTGGTAGTTATTTTTGAATGATTAGCAAAAGGTTTATTTTATATATTTTCATTATTGACATATAGCCTGCTAAAATTATGCTGCCATTAGTTTTAAGTGTGTTCAGACTATACAGAATGTTCTTCTGTAAATTTGAGTGTGGTCACACTGTGAAGAATGTTGTTCTGTAAATTTAAGTGTGGTAACACTGTGCAGATATTGTACTGCCTGGCTTGATACTATGAATGTGGTAACACTGTACAGAATGCTGTACTGCCTGGCTTGACTGTGGGTGCAGTCACACTGTCCAGAATGTTGTACTGCTTAGTATGTGTGACAAAGGCAAGTCATTATTGATAGCTAGTGTTCTCTGTACTGGAAATTTGATTTATTTTCTAGAAAGTTTACTATTTGTTTATATCTTTAATCTCTAGACAATCAAACTAAAATAAATTCTTTGTAAACCTAATCTTATTTAATATACATGTATACAATAGAATTATTCAAAGTTGTTGTTTTATATTTACATCTAAACAAGCTTCAGGCATTTCTTTACCATCAATTAAATATTGTTACAGTAATACAGTTGACTGTTTTTATTTGCATTGTCTCTATTTAGTCAGAATTTAGTTAGTAGTATGCAACTTCAGTATTAAACAGAAACTAAATCTGGACTTGTCACAATGACCTTTCAAATGTCATAAACTTCTAGTCACTGTTTTTATGCAAGGATACCTCGTCTGTCTGTTCGTACTACCAGATAGGGATACTCATCTATCTAACTGTGAAGATAACAAAAAGAGAATAATAGGTGTTTATTCCATAACAATAGGAGAAAGGACAATGAATCCTTTATTAAACAAAATGAAGTAACAAATGAAATGGCCCCTTATCACATTTCAGTTGGATGTCCATCTGTCACAAAACTTGTTCAGACTACTCAAAAACTACTGGTGCAATTACATCCAAACTTTATAGGAATGATCAGTACCAAAAAAATAGGGAGAAAAAAGGAATCACTAAAGAAAGCCCAACACAGCAAAATTGAAAATGTTGCAGGCTAGGTTTGATTGAACCTGTTCATGGACGGTACTGGAAAGTTCATGCCCCTTTGCACTGGCTTAAGCAGAATTCAACATTTAAACATGAAAAGATAAAATTTTGTATTTAGAAACATCTGCAGGTAGGTTCATGTGGCGGTTATCATAGAACCTTCAATGTGACACTTCTGTGCCATTCCATGAAAAGCGGCCTATGGTCTTCAAGTAATAAAAAGCTTTTGCCCTAGATGAGAAAACAATTGGCGGAACTAAACAAAATTTGAAAGGGGATCAGAGGATATCACAGTCTGGTTATGCATATCATTGACATTTTCTAGTTCAACGATTTTTTTCAGAATAATGGCCTTAATGAGATTTACTTGTAAAGTTTTGATAACTTCTCTTATACCACTAATGCAAAAATCAATGAAACTTTACAGGATTTATCTGTAGGTGAATTACTTGCGCATTATATCAAGGGTTTTCATGTTGAATGATTTTGGCTGGAATTATGAAACTTAACATAGATAGTTGCATGGTGATATTGCTTTGATGGGAGAAAGGGATTCTTACATTGCCCTCCCCAACTATGTTCAGGCTCCAGTTTCACAATCAGGCACAGGGTATATTAAGAGTGCTTTGTGATCCTGTCAGGTCTTGTTTGTTTTTTCATTGAGAATTTGCTCAGAACAAATTATTTCCTCACCTGATACATTACCAAATATACAATGATTCAAACAGTTCTAGTTTTGTAAATTATGTATGACTTAAACATATAACAGGATTTTAAGTTTCTGTATTATTTTACATTGCATTGTATGTTGTTCCTTTTACTGTGTTCTTGATTTGATTTTACAACACAATAGTGAAAGATTGGAATACAATAAATAATTACATTGATACCATTAAGTATGCCACTTTCAAAACTTGAAGAAATGCCACTTTCAAAATTGAACAGTGTTTGATGACTAAACCTTAATTTAGGGGGTAAAGAGCCTGACTGTAACAATAATTAGGGGATAGTTTAAAGATTCTATAAACACAATTGTAAAATAATTATTACAGACCTTTCATTGTAGACCAATTCATTTAGAGTGTGCACAGTGGCAGATGAAATGTCTGTAACTGACAAGTTATATTTTCGAATGTATTGTAAAATGTTGCTAGAACAACCATACACAATTACATTGTTAGAAACACTGTTATATTCTTATACAATCTAATACATTTATAACAGTAATGGAATACAGTGAACAAAGTAATAAAAGTCTTGACACTTTTTATTAACCAATTAAAATGTATAATACAAAATAATTTAATAAAATGTAGCAATATACAAAGAACACATTCTTTTAAATATTCTTTTTCTAAAAACTACATGCCAAGAAAATATTTATTTTTCAACAAAAGATTAAATTAAATGACTAAATGATCCCATGCCAGAAATTAAACTTGAATGCTTCTGAAACTTCAAAAGTCAATAAAAAAATGCCATTCAATGACAATGTGAAGTCTTATATTAAGGGAAGTGACCACTAGCAACATTAAAACAAGCGCCTTTTAGATGACTGAAAATATTGCGCCTGATACTTTAAAACAGGTTTTATTCACGTTTGTTTATTTTTGTTAGTATTCATGAATAAACAATGCAAAAAATGCTCATGCAAATTTCCAAATCCAATTTTAGTACTAATATTCCAGAATTTTGCTGCTTGAAAACTTGTTTGTTACAGTGTTATCAAACTGTATTGAAATTTGTGAAGGCCATTTAAATGTAAGATTTACATCTGTGTACCTTTATTTCATCAAACTCAATAAAAATAAAGAGTATGTACATTAATATACATGTGTAATATTAATATATAATAAACAACCTTATTTACAAGAAAATGATTGTTGTATATGGCACAATGACGTGATGGGACAATTTATTGTTTATTTTCACATGTATTGTACACAAATAATAGTTGCTGAACTATGAGACTGTTATGCTATGCTCGGTTACTGTTACAATAACAGTAACTGTTGAATAAAACAGGTGATATCAATTATCTTCTGACTAAATTGATTGCTACTAGAATGATATACAGTGAATGGCAATTTTAGCTGTGGGTTAAAAAAACAAAGACTTTGTGATACATACTTTTCAAGATAATCAGCGGAAATTATTTTGACATTTAAGGCCCCTGTGACCTTGACCTTTGACCTAGTGACCCAAAAATCAATAGGGGTCATCTACTTGTGATGATCAATCATTATGTGAAATATGAAGACTTTGTGATACATACTTTACAAGATAATCAGCGGAAACCATTTTGATATTTAAGGCCCCTGTGACCTTGACCTTTGACCTAGTGACCCCAAAATCAAAAGGTGTCATCTACTAGTGATGACCAATCTTTGTGTGAAATATGAAGACTTTGTGATACATACTTTTCACGATAATCAGCAGAAATTATTTTGACATTTAAGGTCCCTGTGACCTTGACCTTTGACCTAGTGACCCCAAAATCAATAGGGGTCATCAACTAGTTATGACCAATCACTGTGTGAAATATGAAGACTTTGTGATACATACTTTTCAAGATAATCAGCGGAAACCATTTTACATCCAAACTTTATAGGAATGATCAGTACCAAAAAAATAGGGAGAAAAAAGGAATCACTAAAGAAAGCCCAACACAGCAAAATTGAAAATGTTGCAGGCTAGGTTTGATTGAACCTGTTCATGGACGGTACTGGAAAGTTCATGCCCCTTTGCACTGGCTTAAGCAGAATTCAACATTTAAACATGAAAAGATAAAATTTTGTATTTAGAAACATCTGCAGGTGTGTTCATGTGGCGGTTATCATAGAACCTTCAATGTGACACTTCTGTGCCATTCCATGAAAAGCGGCCTATGGTCTTCAAGTAATAAAAAGCGTGTGCCCTAGATGAGAAAACAATTGGCGGAACTAAACAAAATTTGAAAGGGGATCAGAGGATATCACAGTCTGGTTATGCATATGATTGACATTTTCTAGTTCAACGATTTTTTTCAGAATAATGGCCTTAATGAGATTTACTTGTAAAGTTTTGATAACCTCTCTTATACCACTAATGCAAAATCAATGAAACTTTACAGGATTTATCTGTAGGTGAATTACTTGCGCATTATTACAAAGGTTTTCATGTTGAATGATTTTGGCTGGAATTATGAAACTTAACATAGATAGTTGCATGGTGATATTGCTTTGATGGGAGAAAGGTATTCTTACATTGCCCTCCCAAACTATGTTTATTATTATTATTCAGGCTCTAGTTTCACAATCAGGCACAGGGTATATTAAGAGTGCTTTGTGATCCTGTCGGGTCTTGTTTGTTTTTTCATTGAGAATTTGCTCAGAACAAATTATTTCCTCACCTGATACATTACCAAATATACAATGATTCACACAGTTTTAGTTTTGTAAATTATGTATGACTTATACATATAACAGGATTTTTAGTTTCTGTATTATTTTACATTGCATTGTATGTTGTTCCTTTTACTGTGTTCTTGATTTGATTTTACAACACAATAGTGAAAGATTGGAATACAATTAATAATTACATTGATACCATTAAGTATGCCACTTTCAAAACTTGAAGAAATGCCACTTTCAAAATTGAACAGTGTTTGATGACTAAACCTTAATTTAGGGGGTAAAGAGCCTGACTGTAACAATAATTAGGGGATAGTTCAAAGATTCTATAAACACAATTGTAAAATAATTATTACAGACCTTTCATTGTAGACCAATTCATTTAGAGTGTGCACAGTGGCAGATGAAATGCCTGTAACTGACTGTGACAAGTTATATTTTCCAATGTATTGTAAAATGTTGCTAGAACAACCATTCACAATTACATTGTTAGAAACACTGTTATATTCTTATACAATCTAATACATTTATAACAGTAATGGAATACAGTGAACAAAGTAATAAAAGTCTTGACACTTTTTATTAACCAATTAAAATGTATATATACAAAATAATTTAATAAAATGTAGCAATATACAAAGAACACATTCTTTTAAATATTCTTTTTCTAAAAACTACATGCCAAGAAAATATTTATTTTTCAACAAAAGATTAAATTAAATGACTAAATGATCCCATGCCAGAAATTAAACTTGAATGCTTCTGAAACTTCAAAGGTCAATAAAAAATTGCCATTCAATGACAATGTGAAATCTTATATTAAGGGAAGTGACCTCTAGCTACATTAAAACAAGCGCCTTTTAGATGACTGGAAATATTGCGCCTGATACTTTAAAACAGGTTTTATTCATGTTTGTTTATTTTTGTTAGTATTCATGATTAAACAATGCAAAAAATGCTCATGCAAATTTCCAAATCCAATTTTAGTACTAATATTCCAGAATTTTGCTGCTTGAAAACTTGTTTGTTACAGTGTTATCAAACTGTATTGAAATTTGTGAAGGCCATTTAAATGTAAGATTTACATCTGTGTACCTTTATTTCATCAAACTCAATAAAAATAAAGAGTATGTACATTAATATACATGTGTAATATTAATATATAATAAACAACCTTATTTACAAGAAAATGATTGTTGTATATGGCACAATGACGTGATGGGACAATTTATTGTTTATTTTCACATGCATGTATTGTACACAAATAATAGTTGCTGAACTATGAGACTGTTACACTATGCTCAGTTTAACTGTTACAACTACACAGTAACTGTTGAATAAAACAGGTGATATCAATTATCTTCTGACTAAATTGATTGCTACTAGAATGATATACAGTGAATGGCAATTTTAGCTGTGGGTTAAAAAAACACATATAATATAAATGAGAAACACAGAAATCTGATGAAGATGTCACTTCCTTGTTTGCAAAGTTTTTGTCATTGCAAATTCACAATTGCAAAAATTACTAAAAATTCAAAATTTGTGCAGAAATTGTTTTGCACATAAGTGTTTTACAGTATGTAACTGTCCAATTTTAAACATACTTGTCAATAGCTATGAAATTGAATTTATGATCTCAACATAATGCATGTAAATAAAGATAACATACTGTTATAGAAGGAGACAAAATAACAGAAAAATATAACCAAGACTGCCTAGCCATTTTTAACGCACAGAAATACATTTTTTCTCCAACACAAGTTTAAAAATGTTCTAATTATAGATTGAGAGCATGTTACATGTTTAACAACTGATGAAAGTAACACTGAACATGCAGTAAATGTGTTGTAAAGGTAACAAAATGTTAACAAAGTAGTATTTTGACTTCCATACAAAATGCTAATTTAATATTAATACACCCATTGCTATACAAATATATTACCTAAATATTTAATCAAATAAGGCAATAGAAAATAAATTACTAGATTCTCATCCAATTGTTTTGACAAAATTGTGGCAGGCAGGTTGATTTTATTTCATATTTTTTTATTCTTGGCAAGTGGCAATACATAAGAAGGGCAATGTAGAAGAATTTGGCTGTCTTCTTTAATGAAAAATAACAGCAAAATAGAACAAGAATGTCGAACGACACATATACCCCCCTTTCTAGCCATTGACTCACATAATTGGTAATTTTATTACAGAAACTTGCCAAAAATGGGTACATGGAAGTGTTCAATTATGGAAAAATCAACGAAAACCATTTTGACATTTAAGGCCCCTGTGACCTTGACCTTTGACCTAGTGACCCCAAAATCAATAGGGGTCATCTACCTGTGATGACCAATCACTATGTGAAATATGAAGACTTTGTGATACATACTTTTCAAGATAATCAGCAGAAACCATTTTGATATTTAAGGCCCCTGTGACCTTGACCTTTGACCTAGTGACCCCAAAATCAAAAAGGGGTCATCTACTAGTGATGACCAATCTTTGTGTGAAATATGAAGACTTTGTGATACATACTTTTCAAGATAATCAGCAGAAATTATTTTGACATTTAAGGCCCCTGTGACCTTGACCTTTGACCTAGTGACCCAAAAATCAATAGGGGTCATCTACTTGTGATGACCAATCACTATGTGAAATATGAAGACTTTGTGATACATACTTTTCAAGATAATCAGCGGAAACCATTTTGATATTTAAGGCCCCTGTGACTTTGACCTAGTGACCCCAAAATCAAAAGGTGTCATCTACTAGTGATGACCAATCTTTGTGTGAAATATGAAGACTTTGTGATACATACTTTTCACGATAATCAGCGAAAATTATTTTGACATTTAAGGTTCCTGTGACCTTGACCTTTGACTTAGTGACCCCAAAATCAATAGGGGTCATCTACTAGTTATGACCAATCACTGTGTGAAATATGAAGACTTTGTGATACATACTTTTCAAGATAATCAGCGGAAACCATTTTGACATTTAAGGTCCCTGTGACCTTGACCTTTGACCTAGTGACCCCAAAATCAATAGGGGTCATCTACTAGTTATGACCAATCACTGTGTGAAATATGAAGACTTTGTGATACATACTTTTCAAGATAATCAGCGGAAACTATTTTGACATTTAAGGTCCCTGTGACCTTGACCTTTGACCTAGTGACCCCAAAATCAATAGGGGTCATCTACTAGTTATAACCAATCACTATGTGAAATATGAAGACTTTGTGATACATACTTTTCAAGATAATCAGCGGAAACCATGTGGTCTACCGACGGACAGACAGACAGACAGACAGACCGACATTAGCAAAACAATATACCCCCTCTTCTTCGAAGGGGGGCATAAAAATGTGTTTTTTATCTGTTAAATATACAGTTTCTTTTATAGCTAATCTTGATGTTAAGCTGCAAATGTAAAAGCTACTTGGCAGCATTCAGTGCAAAGAAAACAATAAATTTGGACATTACACAATATGTCATGGACTTTATTTTACTGAAAGATTGAATGAAACTTTGATGTACATTTTTTTTTAGAAAAAAAAAATGATTTCTGCCATGCAGGCAGGGACGAGAATCTAGGATTTTATTTTCTGATGCCTTACCTAAAAATAAATTGATATTTATCAACATTTCGTAAGAACATGTAAAGTACACTACTTCATTAAAAATGTAAATATTTAAAGTATGAACATATTATTGCATACATGTATATGCTGGTAAACCCAGCAACATATCTAAATATACACAGAAAATATGCTTCAGTAAAACATAATGGCCATGTCATTCTATACACATCTGACCAAAATTTACATCACAGTTATACACAATATTATATACAAAGTTGCCGTGACGATGTTTCTATAGTGTAGTACAGGAATGATGAATAAATCATGAATATATTCCATATAATACCCTCACTAGTCCAATTTAGCAGCGTCACTCGTCTCTTCAGTAAATGCTTTATAAACAAACATTCCAAGTATCAAATGTACAGTTCCTATAGCAACAAATGCTGCATAAAAATAACTGTCCTGACTGGTCATACCAAAAAATACTGAAATTAAATAAAACAGGAGATGTGACATCGTTATACACATGTATACTGGTACATTGTACATGTTAAATAAAGATATAATGTTATATAAGGGAGGGTACTTCCATTACCAACTGAGATCAATGTATGTAAGTGCAAAACTTGCATCACAACAAACTGACAAGTCTGTCAAGCACTCCATTTAATAACTGATAAAGATTCAATTTACTTTCTCAGTTAACAGCCCTGAGAAATAATTATTTTACAATTAAAAAAAAAAATAATATCATAATTACATTGATAATTGTAAGGTAGTAGAAAAAATAGTATAATTGTGTATTTATGCTGCCAATTAAAACATAAATAAGACCAAAATATAAGGTTTGGTTATCCTATAAACTTGTGACATTTGTATCGTAAATATAGATACATGTATGTACTTAGCAGAAGAAAGTAAACAATTTTTCATCTATTTCTAAAATCATTAAATCACTAAAGACTTAATTGCTGTTACAACTTTTCTGCCAAATTACGATTTTCCGAAAAACTACAAACATTTTCAAAAAAGTAAATTGTGTTAAAACTTGTCTCCTAACAAGACAATGATATAAAAAAGTACATACGTTCAAATAACATTCTTTTACTGAAGAAGTACAGGAACACTGGGAAGAACAACATAGATAAACTAAATATAATCATCGTCTTCATAACTCCTGCATCTCTCTCCCGGCCACCTGTCATCCTGTAACAACAACAACAATAACAATTAGTAGTCTGTCCATGCATAGAAATTTCGGTATGCCTAAAATACAAGTGACTTTTTTGACGAAAGTGACCAAAAGTGACTTATAAAATATGAATTATAGCGTTTTAATAGACTTATAAAAATTATAATGATTATTTTTGAAAATGAATATTATCAATTTCTGAAACTATGCGTCTATAAACTGTTATTTTAATATAAATTAAATGCTACATTTCATATTTTATAAGTCACTTTCGTATCATTCAATGTAAGCGAAAGGAAGATCTCAGAATTTGTGTATAGAAATTATGCAAATAAATAGCGATTAAATCATCATAATATGATAATTTTTGATAATAAATATAATTAACTTCTAATAATATACGTCTACAAACTGCAATTTTATTGTATTAGTCTATTAAAACGCTATAATTCATATTTTAAAAGTCACTTTTGTCAAAAAAGTCACTTTCATATTTTAGGCAAACCATAGAAATTTCGGTGAAAATTGTTCCATTAATTTGTAAAACTGAGTTAATGCCTTTGAATTAACTATATTACATAGATGTGGGTCTTTACGAAGAGCGACTATCGTCTATATAACATAAAGCCCTGGCACACAAATTATTTGTTGGTCTAGATCTGTAGATTTTAGGTAATTTGTAATTCAAAGTTTTTCATTTTCTGGCTTTTGACATAAGTTTAATAACTGTCTGTGTAGTATTAGTCATAAAATTGTTATGACAAAATTCACCACATTTTTAATGAAAATACAATAGACAAACGTCCGATTTGAGTAAATATCGCGCAAAATGTATTTATCCCATACTTTCTGAGCTTTCCCTTGATACACTAAGTTTTCTCAACATCTACATCATACAGAAACTCCTGGCCTTTTCGAAGCAAAAACAGCTTACTTTGCAGATCATTCAACAGGTATCAGCCTCACATTCTAATCCAGACTACAATATATATATCAAGGGCCCTAAACCGAATTGTTGGGAAAATTAAATTTGATCCAGACTAAATTTTTACTCTAATTCTTAAGACCTAAAGGCGTCAAATCCGATTGATTAGCGTAATATCGAAGTATATTACACTTTGCTCTAAATTAATTTTGAAAATACCAAACAAACACAAAAGAGAAACTACTTTCTGAAATCGTGGTTTTTAAAACAAATAATAATGCAACGTCCTATCATTAATAATAAAATTTAGATGAAGAAGATATTTTTTTTAATTGGAGCACCTTGTTCTCAAATCATCTGCCATGTTGTTGTTGTTGTTATTGTTCTAAAACATTTACCATACTATCTCCCAATACATGTGTCTTCCAAATAAATTGTAATGTTCAAACTAAAGATTACTAAAGATTGTTGGAAAAAAACTTAAGATTACTGTACACGAAGTGAAGTGCACTTGGTGACTTTTTAAAGACTATTTTGTGGTCACATTTTTGTATTTCTATTCCTATTTTTGTATCTTATTTCCTTTCCCCTTAAATATTAGTGAAGGCAATAAATATCAAGATCAGCAGACTCCACACAACTCTAAATTAATATATTTTCACTTCTATATATGAGTTTACTGTGTACGGTTAGTTTATATATATAACAGTACAGTAAATTAAATGTTATCTCTGGCATGTCAATATTATTTATTATTATTATTTTATTATAAAGCATTTAGTGTCTATATATATCCCACACTATAGTATTACGATTAGTTTCATAATGTTGGATTTTGTGCGTCTTTTATGAGTTTTATGTTAACATGTATAGCTATGTTTTGTGAACTGTATATGTATACCGACAATAAATAAATTTCTGGGAAGGGCTTAATCTAATGTTGTAAGAACTTGTTGCCCAACCCATTTGCATTTTGATATATACTCATTATTTGTATGATATATTTGTAAACATGTATTAAATGCAATAAAATATGTTTAAACTAAATAAATTTTGATTAGTTTAATCATATTTTATTGCTTTTACATTTTATACAAAAACAGATACATTGTCACATGTAAACATTCTACAAAACAGTAACGAATACATTTACAGTTAATACATGGATATTATAGTTATTATAAAAAAAGAAAAAGGGTCGGGCCACAAGTTTTAACAACAAATTTTGATTTGATTTGGTGGGCACTACATGTGTACCTCTAGTGCACTTCAATGCGCACATTAAATTTAAAGTGTACCAGAGTTGCGAAAATTTGCATCATCACTTCCGGGAAATTTCCTCTCCCACCCCATTCTATAAATAAATCACTGGATCTCTGGACATTCCCCCACCCCTCCCCCAGTGGAAATGTAAAGCTTGGGCATCATAGTTTCACAAAATAGACTTAGATGCGTTTCCTATACAATATTTTTTTTAACTAATTACTAATGGCTAGTCTGACAGAAAAAGATCTGGCATGTTTATAGTTTTCTAGTTATTGACCAGTAAGCATTAACTAACACTTCATTTCATTTTCCTCATCATACTAAATAAGTAACCTACTGGGCGGATCCAATTTTCTTCTTGAATTTTGAAACTAAAGCCCTAACCAACATATCGTCTTATTATAAGTAATAGTTCTGCCTTTAATTTATTTCTCTCGTTTTAAAACATCTAGAGCGGAAACATGATTTTGAAGATTTTAAAGTGTGACCTAACCTGAGGAAGATTAAACCTGCGCTCTGCACAATGTTCCAGATTGGTTAACAAGACTGGACACACAATTGCTAACAGACGGACAGACAACCGGGTGCAATATACGGGATTTTTCCGGGCATATAACTATTTTTTTTGTTATAAAATTTAAATATGCCTATCCAAATAAGTGTAAGGTTTTGATCATAATATTAAAATGCATTTCACAATTGAAAACTGAATACATTTACAGATTTTTTTAATTGATTAACTCTACAAAGAAAGACAATGCAAGTAAACAGAAAAGAAAATCGTTTGCTTTCATAAAACAATCTGTAAAACTTTAAACAGGGAACAGTTCTTGACTATCTCTGGCGTCAGCGTTGATTTAAGTGTTTATGTAAACGTCTATTTTCTCAAAAACTGTCAAAAGTTTTTGTCAAAATTTTACATTTTAAACTTCCGTATGACAGTGTGCCATATTTTGCTATATATGTTTGTACGTGTTCATATAATAAACTTTCTTTTCCATGCATGTTTCATATTTGTTTCATGCATCTCTGTAAAGTAAAGAAGTTCACATAAAAACAGCGAAAAACGGAATCCCTAAAGAACGCCTTTAACGGCAAAATTCAAAGTGTGGCTGGCTCAGTTTGAATAAGTCTGTCCAAGCCAACATATCACTGCCATCGCTAATGTGAGCACTCGCAACATTGTTCATTCTCTGACAAACATCTTTCTCAAAACAAACACTCATTTCCCGGTCATTTGGTATGTGATGAACGCCGTCTTTCTTTGTTTTTTGTAGCATGTCTTGGATGGGAACCATAATATGACAGGAAATCAGATTATCTTGACCATGGTTCATGATATTGACCTGCATTGTACCGTCATATGGTATCGTACTAGAAACACAGAATAGAAACATTCCGTGGTCAAGTCAATATACATGCATATTTATTGTCGGATTGTATATATAACATACGAACATGCTTCACACTACCCCCTACCGAACGGATAGAGCAATCAAGTGCATTATTATACGATATACATGCACAGCATAAAAAACTAATACTTAGACGTAATATGACGTCACATATATACGTCAATAAACGACGGATTTATATTCGTGAATAAAACAAATGACGTCAGAAATATTACTTCTACGCACAATGTGTAGTTCAACATAATTATTTTTGTCAGTTCCGTTTTTACAAGCATGTTAAAATAGAAATAGGAATTATTTGTTCTTGCATTTTAATATACAAATGTAATTATTAATACAGGGTAAATCTATTCCGTTTTCGAAGCAATTAAAACCGTAAAATTATTAACGTTTAGGACGGTACCTTGCATCTTCCAGTACCGTCCTTGAACAAACTCAATCAACATTTTCGATGTAAAAATTCGTTTCGGTCTGTTTTTCTCTAAAGTATTAATAGGTCATTTATACGGAAAAGAGAAATTATGTGTCCCTTAAATATGATGATATAATTTTACCTGAAATAAATCAATTTAATTATTTTCCTAATTTGCTGGAAATCTAGTGTATATGGCAAAAGAAAATGAAACGTTCCATTTTAGGATAATCTATGACATTTTCATTTTATTGTATATTCTAAAAAGGAACTGAGACCCTATTTATTAAATAATGCCTGTCCCTTTCAATACTAGAATCTGTTTAGGTTATTTTCATCTTGTTTCAAAATATTGTTTTTATGTATTTCAACTCCTATCCTCAAAGCATATATGTTAGAAGTGTAAAGTTTATATTATAGTTGTTCTGCAAACCCTATTTCACTGTAAAATTTGTACAATTTTATAGTCCCAAAATTTTGTCATTACCGAAACACGATATTTATTGTCCGCATTTCAAATGTAAATCCGAACAATAGATTTAACTTGATGACGTCATCATTAAAGTTTTTTGGCGGTAATATTTTAAACAAGAACCGATGGAAGACGAGGAAAGCCATTTTAAAGGTAGGAAATAATTTATTTAGCAAACAGAAATTCTCCGTCATTACCGAACGATACATTTCTTAAAAGATTCAATGTATTTGTGTGTTGGAATGTTAAAGATCAATGCATATACCTTGTATGTTTGTGATTTAAGAACAATCTGTGAAATACCCAGTAAACAAACATGGCCGCCAAACAAAAAAGATTAGTTTGTCATTTCCGCAACGGTCATTACCAAAACGATGTATTTTGTTATGGTAATGACAATATCGTTTCGGTAATGACAAAAATATCACAAATAACTTTATTTTAATGATTTTTTCTAACATATTAATGCTATGATTATGATAGATCTAGATGATGGCTTTTCATATTTACTTCTTAAATTATTCATTTTACTTGAAGCATGGAATATTACATTGTATGATATATGTTTGACCTCTGTTTTAATAGTATATATACATAATCACAGATAAGCAAGTTTAAATCAACAACACATACTTGTATTATAAAGTTACAAAATAAATACCAATAACAATGTAATGAAGTTTGTTTAAAATATTTAATCTAAATATTTCACTCACTTTGACAAATCCTTCTACAGTCACTTTTTTATGTTTTAGGCCTAAAAAAAAAATTGGACAATCTAGACAAATTCATCGGAAAATCTGAACAAGCCTTATATACAGTACTAAGGCAGGAAGATATAAGACCGTTTGCTAAACACATTTGTGATTTATATAACAGTATCTTGGATAGCAAAGATAAAAGAAAATTGATTCAACTGAGGCTTGAAGCATATCATGGCATTAACAAGCGGTGAAAGGGCTGCACTCTGGCGCAAACGTCAGAAAGAAGACCCAGAAAGACATGCAAAATACAAGGAAAAAGAACGCCAAAGATACAAGAAGAGACGTGAAGAAGGATCACTTAAATCAATAAATGAAATGAATGAAAGAGAAAAACGAAAAACAAGGAGAAATTGGCGTAAGAATCAAAGCTCGAAGAGGCAAAGGGATAATATGATCATTAAACATGTACAACAACAGCTGAGCCCCCCAACTAGTCCAAATACAGACAACCCTGAAAACATTCCTCCAAAGAAACGAGGACGAAAACGTACAAGAAAAGAAAACTCGAAAGCATATCGAGACCTATTTCAGTTGAGAGTTCGGTTTGATTGTGAAAGAAGGCTTAAAGAGAAATACAAAAAGCGTGCATACCGGCTGAGCAAAAATTACACAGAAAAGACGGATATTGATAAAGAAGTAGATATAAAACTGAAGTCCAAAGATATCAGAAAGGCTTTAACACTTCATTTGATAATGATCCGAAATATAAAAGAAATGAAGGATCAAGTAAACAAGAAGGACAAAAAAGTAATCAGAGAAATAGTATGTAGAGACAAAATACTGAAAAAATACAAGCTAGGAAAATATGCTCAAAAAGTATTATCTATGAAAGTGACCCAGAATACAAAAAGGCAAACCAAAGAAAAACGATGGTCATTGATAAAAACATTAGTTGTAGACTTTATCCAACGTGATGACAACTCACGTATCATGGGGGGTAAGAAGTTCACAGTAACACGACACGGAAATAAAAAACAGATTCGCCTATTAAATGACAGTATGAAAAACTTACATGAAAAGTTCTTGAGTGAGCACACAAGTAAAATATCATACAGTCTTTTTTGTAAACTTAAACCCTTCTATGTCATCAAACCAACAGAGAAACACAGAGAAACATGTCTTTGCAAACATC